TCCAGCGAGCACCGCCAGACAGAGCAGAGACTCAGTGGGGTGAGCTTTCACAGGAGAGCGGCATCGATGGTTACAGGGGAAGAGGAGAGGTTTTCTTCAAGGAACCACGTTGTCTTAGTAATTCTTGCAACTTGTCCACAGCGAACCCCTTAAGTTCTCATATTTGGATAGGAGATTACAAACGTTGTTGTTACTTTTTGTGTTTTAAATTTTTGCTGTAGAATAGAAGCCTGGTTCCCACACTGCACTCAGGAGTTTGTGCAGGATGTAAAGCTTCCTGAAATGCCCGGGATTGCAGGGATGGTGGCATAAGCCACCACTTACAGAGTGTAACAGCAAATATGTCTTGTGAGAGAAAGCAATTGCAAATCCTTTGGACAGCATAAACCACTCCGTAGAATAAATTACTTTGTAGAAAGATTATGATTTTTTAGAAAAGCAAAAAAATGTATCACGAGAATAAATTATTTATCTAGAAGAGGAAATTGTTTCCATGTGAATTCTGCAGGAGCGAGCTGTCTGTGTTATGTACTGGATCACAGTGGTATCGTTAGTTACAGCAGTCCCGCATTTGCTAACCTCCAGGCAAAACATTTTTAACTTCCTTAAGGACGTATTTCTAAAGGAAGCGAGAACGCTCGAGCGCTACCAAACCAGGTCCGTCTCTCTTGCTTAGTGAGCCCTTCCTCAGGCACCCTTCCGGTGACCTCCGTTACCCTGGAGGGGCGGTGGGGCTTGGGGAAGAACGAAAGCGTGAACGAAGGAGGCAGAGCGGGGCGGGGCGGGGCGGGCGCGGAGCAGAGCGGGACGGGCGCGGAGCGGAGCAGAGCGGGACAGGCGCGGAGCAGAGCGGGACGGGCGCGGAGCGGAGCGGAGCGGGACGGGCGCGGAGCGGAGAGGAGCGGAGCGGAGCGGGGCGGAGCGGGCGCGGAGCGGAGCGGGACGGACGCGGTCCGTGCCCGCACTGGCGGCGCGCCGGCGGAAGGGGGCGCGCTGCGCTCGCGGCCGGGGCTCGGGGGGCACCGGGGCGATCCCGGCTCCGCTCCCCGCCACGGGCGGGCCGGGATCGCTGCGGGCTCCGTGCCCTGGCTGCCGCGGAACTCTCCTTGGAGCCCTTCGATCCGCAGCCGCCCCCCGCCCCAGCTCCTCCTACGGCTCCCGCCCCAGCTCCTCAGCACCCTGGTTTGGTCAGCTCAACTCCAGCATAGCGTTAACCCAATGGAAAGAGAGGTCCAGGGTGACCCCGGGAAGGGTCAGCACAGTGAGATGGGAAAACAAACGAGGTCCTATAGGCAAATTGTTCCTCTTGAGCTTACTTCAATGTGGGCGTGTGCTGGCATGGCTCATCTACAAACTATGCTGCCTATGAAAATTTGACTTTGTTCAATGAAGTACGTCACATTGTAAATGTTGACAGTAGTTACATCAGGTTAGAGAGCGATACCCAATTCAAAATGACAGCAAAATCTTCAAGAAAAAGGCAAATATTATAGCTATGTTTTCTTCTGGTAATGAAAGAAGGTCCACTTTATGCAGACAGAGAAGAAAGTAGGTAATGCAGTAACTGAAAGTACAAGTCTGTCATGGGACACGGAGCTTTTACTTCAGAGGAGAAACCAATTTATTTAGAGAAAAAAATCCCAGACGACTTTATTTTAGTTCCAGAACAACAATCTTAACCAAGATTAGTTGTTGGCAACCACAACAAGAAGAGGTAAGACCTGCGCACCAGGGCAGCATTAATATACCTTAAACTCCCAAGTCTGGCAGTAGTCACTAGGAGATGTATGCGGGTCTTCCTGCTGAATTTACTCTGTCACCTGCCCTTTCCATGGGCAGAAGAAAGTAACTGGGTTGCATAGCAGAAATGCATTCATGTTGGGAAGCCAGCTGATGGAGAAGCACCTTTGGGTGAGGAAGGGTGAGTCTGCCTGGGTGTGTGGAGCTGTGGACCAGTATGTCTTGCTTCAGAGCTGTACATTGTACACCATGTCCACAGTGGAGCAAAGGATTTTTGTCTTTTTTACCCCGGGATGCTGGAGATTACTGTGATGTGTGCTTAAAACTATGTAAATTAGATATTTTGATGGTACCTTGCACAGAGTCACCAATTGTGCTCTTCCTCCTGAGTGTGTTAGGCATTTCCCTCAACTAGACTTCTCAATAGTTCCCAGAAATCCCAGACAAGTATGGGAAATTAAATGAGAAAGGGGAGGCTACAGCTGAGAGAACCCAGCCTGTGAAGCACATTTGAACTGTGTAAAGTGTAGTGACTTTGTGAATCTGTAGAGTTCACAGCCATTATGCTATTCATGAAAAAGGCTATTATTGCTAGGTGCCATTAACACCCCTCCCTCCCTTTTCCATTGTGAATGATTTTACTAGGATGCTGTAAAACTAAGAATGCCAAGTGGTCAGAACTGGGTAATACTTTTGCTAATTCTAGAAGACGATCTAAAGCTGGTGTTTCTTGTTTGTCTGGCGTCCACAATTACTCTTGAATTAGTATTATTTGTTTGGCTTTTTATAGAAATATAAAGCATGAAGTTGTGTTCTCAAAACCAGATGCCAACTCACTGGAGACAGAAAAGTTTTCTGTTCTTCTTATGTGGTCAGGTTGAGTCCGCAGTAATGAGCTACATGAAGGAGATGCTGTTTGCCTTCAAAGGAGATATTAAGTTTCCATGTGTAACTTACCATAATGCAATAGCACTGTCCTATTGGACAAGCCTTGGGGTGAAGTCATATTTGTTTTCTTTGTAACAGCTTGGACTGCCTTACTAATTTCTTTTTTAGTCACCTTCAGCACCCATGAGCAGGAAATGACAGAAGGGTTTCATCACATTTAGTGTCTGGCTTCTCCACGGGTGCTGCCAACACACCAAAACATTTGAGCCAATTAAAGGTCTAGTCTGAGATACCCATGCATCTGCTCTCTGAACAATCAATTTATTCTGGAAACACGTAATAACCTTAACTTGGATTAACAGTCCCTTAGTTCCTTAACTGGGTTGGACCCTGCAACTTCATGGGCAAGCACCAAACTTGTGCTGGAGCAATAGTGAAGAAACCATTGTACTGAGAGAGAGGTGAGCTGAAACAGCAAAATGGTTAAACTCCTGCTCCTGCTGCAGCTAAAACTGTTTCCCTTTACACCATAGTCCTTCCACTCAAACTGCTCTGCACCTTTCATCATTCAAGGGTTTACATTTTAAGCTAGAAGAGAGCATCCAAAGGAGGGCAACAAAAACAGTGGAGACCCTTGAGGGGAAGCTGTGTGAGGAGCTGCTGAGATCCCTTGGTCTGTTCAGCCTGGAGGACACTGAGGGGAGACCTCACTGCAGTTACAGCTTCCTCTTGAGGGAAAGAGGAGGGGCAGGCACTGATGTCTTCTCTGTGGTGACAGTGACAGGACCCGAGGGAATGACCTCAATTTGTGTCAAGGGAGGTTTAGGTTGGATGTTAGAAAAAGATTCTTCTCCCAGAGTGTGGTTGGGCTGGAACAGCTCCCCAGGGCAGTGGTCAAAACACCAAGCCTGGCAGAGTTGAGAAAGTGTTTGGACAATGCTCTTAAACGCATCATGAGACTCTTGTGGATGGTCCTGTGCAGGGCCAGGAGCTGGAGTCAATGGTCCTTGTTTGTCCCTTCCAACTCAGCTTCTGTGATTTAGATAGGGAAAAAAAACCTAACTAAAAAAAGCCTCCTAAAGTTTCCTAGCAGTCAAGTCAGGGTTTTGGGTTCGTGGGTTGTTTCATTGATGGTGGTTTTTAGCCTTTGGTGTCACTGTTCTACCAAGACATCTTAAATAGTTCCACTAGGCTAATATAAGAGGTGATAGTGTTGCCAGTGTTTGTAGGCAAAAATTCCTCCTGAAAAATATTTACACCTCATATTTTCAAGGCTGCTTTTTTGTCCCTTTTAAGTTCCATCTGTAACAGGGATTTTTAAGGGTAGGATGGAATAGGGAATTCTAGAGACTTTCATATTGAAACAGAATAAAACAAAATTGGAGCTGATCCGCATGTGATGTTGTTGTTGGAAGGACTCATGATAGGGATAGGTATAATGAGTGAAGATGGACAGGAGGTCAGGTATGGACTTGCAAAAGAACATAGTAGAAACAAGGGCAGCACTTTAATTTTGGGTTTTGTGTGTAGAAACATCACTGTGTAATGTGGAACTCTGTGAATCAGAGAGGCTAGAGAGGTACATAAGGTTACCTTAATTTTCAGGTTAGCAAGCCCTTTGCCTGGCTTTGTTACCAAGGTAGCAGCGAGATTTCCTGCTGCTCCAGCAGGGACAGTACCTGGGAAATGGGCCGCAGACTACCAGGAGTGAAGTGTTCTGCAGCCGAGGGCTGGATTCTGCCGGGACAGCTCACGGAGATTGTCAGAGCGCCAAGGAAATGTATGTCAATCGTTGGTCGCCTTTGCACTGTTCTAGGTCTTCCACCCCGGGGAGGAGCTCGCTCAGCTGGGTTTTGCCCTAATCCGCGGGTGTGCTTAGGGCTCTGCCTCTGGATTTATGGCGTTTGGAGTACCTTTGCTTTCCAAAAGCTGTGTCTGGAAGCGCCCGGGGTCCTGCAGCGCCGGAGTTCCCCTTGTGCTCTGGATCCGCCCGAGGCAGCGATGGATGCGGTGGCTGTGCCGGGGATCCCCCTGCCCTGCCCTGCCCTGCCCACCGCTCACACTCTCCTGGCTGCCGCCTGCAGCACGGCGAGCCTCGGCCGCCCGGCCCGTGTCCCGAGCCAGCCCCGGGACACCCTCTTCCCGCCGGACTGCCCCGGACATCCCGGAGGGCTCCGCAGCTCTCCCGGCTGCTGCCACCGAGCGAAGCCGCGGGGCTGTCCCGGTGCGGCGGGGCGGGGGCGGGCGGAGGAGCCGCCCCTCCGCGGGCGCGGAGCTATAAGGGCAGCGTGGAGCTATAGGGACAGTGTAAGGACAGCGCGGAGCTATAGGGACAGTGTAAGGGCAGCGCGGAGCGGGGCGCAGCAGGCGCCATGGGGAACCGGGTCACCCGCGAGGATTTCGAGTGGGTCTACACGGAGCAGCCCCACACGCAGCGCAGGAAGGAGATCCTGGGTACGGCGGGGAGCCCGGGAGCGGCCGCGGCGGCTCGGGCAGCCGGGCTGGGCTGCGCTGCTGGACGGGAGGGGACGGGCGGAGCGGGGCGGGGGTCCGCGCCGGTAGCGCCGGTGTCGGTGCGGCTCGGGCTGGCGTCCAGGCTGCGGAGGGCGAGTGCCGCAGCCCGGTGGGATGTTGGGTGTGCACCCCGAGGAGCGCAGCGCTCCCAGCACTCTGCCTTGGGGAAGCAGTGGCGGGGATGCCGCGGCCGAATCGAGCCCGGCTGTGCCGAGCCGGGTCAGGGGTGGAAGCGGGGACGGGGCGGCACGGGCTGTGCCCAGCGCCCGCCTGCCCGCACCGAGCCCCGGGTCAGGAGTGGCAGGGGTGGCAGGGTCTGTGCCCAGCGCCCGCCTGCCCGCTCCGAGCCGGGTCAGGGCTGGCAGGGGTGGCAGGGTCTGTGCCCAGCGCCCGCCTGCCCGCTCCGAGCCGGGTCAGGGCTGGCAGGGGTGGCAGGGTCTGTGCCCAGCGCCCGCCTGCCCGCTCCGAGCCGGGTCAGGGCTGGCAGGGGTGGCAGGGTCTGTGCCCAGCGCCCGCCTGCCCGCTCCGAGCCGGGTCAGGGCTGGCAGGGGTGGCAGGGTCTGTGCCCAGCGCCCCTGCCCGCACCGAGCCGGATCAGGGCTGGCAGGGGTGGCAGGGTCTGTGCCCAGCGCCCGCCTGCCCGCACCGAGCCGGGTCAGGGCTGGCAGGGGTGGCAGGGTCTGTGCCCAGCGCCCCTGCCCGCACCGAGCCGGGTCAGGGGTGGCAGGGGTGGCAGGAGCCGTGCCCAGCGCCCGCCTGCCCGCACCGAGCCGGGTCAGGGGTGGCAGGGGCCGTGCCCAGCGCCCGCCTGCCCGCACCGAGCCCCGGCAGCGGCCGCTGCCCTCGGTCGGGGGTGCGGCGGCCCCGCCGGGTGTGCCCCGGGCGCAGGCTGGGAGCGCTCCTGCGGGCACGTGTTCCCTCCCGGTGCCTGGGTACGGCATGGAAGTAAACCCGCCATGGTGTGCGGGTCCGATCTGCTGGAGAACAATAGCAAATCCCGCTGCTTGTCGGGGACAAGGTACACTCCTGCACTTTCGTGCTGTACACGCAGCGCTTATCTGCGCTCAGGAGTGTGGTGGGTCGGCAGGCTTGTTTTTGTGGGGGGGTTTGGGCTATTCTGAAGATCGTTTTGGAGAATAACTGATAATTCAGAATTGTCACAGAGTACTGTTGCGTATCTCTTAAAAATACATTTTCAACTTTTTATTAATAAAAAAGATTTTGATTTCCCTCCCTCTTTTCATTTGGGTGGCTTGGTCGTTTTGTTTTCTTCCCTCTTATGAGTAGGATGAAGTTTAGAAAGAACTTTTATAAAAAGGCAGTAGAACTTCTGTCTCAGTTGCTGCACAGGGTATATAGTAACTAGATGCAGTTCTTTCACTCCCCCACAATCTTACAGATTAATCCAGGATTAATCTAAATTACAAAAACATTTCTGGTATAGTTGCAGTGGTGGAATATCCACGTCCAGGTTTAAATGGCATCCAAGAATAATTATTTTACTGTGTAATCATGATAGTCAAATTACATCAGTATAGCAAATGATGCTTCTTGCTGTTGTGCTTCTCATCCCTTCAGTCAAGGGACTACATTTTGGTGAGCTAAGGGTGGGAGGGTGTATGGAGAGTTGCCGCTTGCTTGTGTTTTTGGTTGTGCTATAGAATGGAGAGTGCAAACCATGATGAAGCTGTAAGGAGGTCCTTGGCGTCCCTTGTTGCAGCAAACTCTTTTCAGGACTCTTCAGCAGCACACTTGCAGAGGTTTTGCCCACTCCCTCTTTGAGTTAAGAACAAGCAGTTGGAATCAAGGTCCATCTCCTGCTTTACAGCTTCCCCCGTCCCAGCTGTGGGAGTGGAAGGAAGGGCAGAGAGAGATACAACATGGAAAGAGAGATATGAGTGATCTGTGTCTGATAAGGCAGAATGGACTTTAAATGTCTGTAATGATCCTCACTCTGTTATTCAAAGCATAAAGTCACCTACTATTGAGAGTATATAGTTACCAAAGTGTTTAGTGTCTGCTAAGCTGGAGTACACACTAAGAGTCTTAAATGCATATGTACAAATATCTATAAAAATCCATGTATTTTACATTTTTGTGTACAACAATGCCTTGGGGACAGCATTCCATGCTGGGAAAGGAACTATTTCCTTCCCAATAGGTTAATGATTTAGTTGCTAAGCACTGAAACTTGATTGTTCTCTGGGCTGCAGCTTTTTAAAATGTTGGTCTCTCTCAGGCATGGCTACTTGGATTTAAATACAAATGGAAATTATCTGTTAGGAAAAAAAAAAGGGCCAACTGACAAACACATAAGGCAGTTTCTTTCTACATAAGTGGTGTTTCCTGGTCTGTTGTCCCAATATGTTCCTATAGAGCATCTGTCAAGTAAAAAAAGTTCATCACAAATTTGTTTGTCCTGGTTTAAGAGTTCATAGCCCAGGTGTCTGTAAGGCTTTTGTAGTCAGTGACTGTGCGTGAATGAGAGCTCCCTGAGTCCAGTCTCCCTGCCATGGGCAGGGACATCCTCTGCTAGCTCAGAGCCCCATCCAACCTGTCCTTGAGCACTTCCAGGGATGGGCCATCCCAGCTTCTCTGGGCAGCCAGTTCCAGTTAGCCACAGAGCTGTGAGCAGTGTTTGTCACCTGGGCTGGCTGGAAATTGGCTTCGTGGCAGGACACTGCTGCACTAGCTGAGGGTTGCCATTCCTAAAGTCTGTAATTATACCAGCAAATAGACCAACATTTTGCACAAGGGAGAGGAGATATTGTCTCTCTTATCTCTTTGTTGTCTCTCGGTATTAAAATGTAGCTTGTGCTTAGTACTGTCTGTGTGCAGCTGCTTCTGACTTAGAGTGGAGGAGATCTCTTGCCAAGCTGGCACTTGGACCCTGATCACGTTATACATGTTCCTGAACACGTTATTCACGCTTTGCAGTTTATGAAATGGAATGGTTTCATTGCTATTCTCTCCCTGTCTTGTTTATGAAAAGCCTGTTACTGCCTTGTGTCAGGACTGGGATTTGTGTAATGCTGCAGTAAGCTCTGTTAGGGAAAGATCTGGTTAAAAACTTCCTGATGGAAAAGTTTGTTCATCTAGATCTGCTTAGCCTTTCTGTATAGTTACAAAAATGCAATTAGATATAACCAAGAGAGGGCATCTAGTAGAAATAGGATTTCTACTTTTTGCCAGTAAGGATTTCTTGGACTGAAAGACTTGGAGAAACTTTGCTCTTGCTCAGGGGGAAGTGTTGATGTCTTTTCACTCTTGACAGATGAAAAAATCATTGCTTAAATGCAGGTAACACCATAATCATACAATGTCTGGTCATTTCACCTGCAAACAGTTTCCCAAATGCAAGCAATGAGCAATATGTTGCGACATGGGAAGAGTGAGATCATATTTATGCCATGGGCTGGATCTAACTTTTTATAAAATTACTCTAAGACAGAAAATGTCTTGCCTCACAGGATCCTTAGAGAAGCATTTGTTTGCTGCTGAGGATGAGAGCTGAATCAGTGTTGCTCGGGATAGACCAGGAACATCTGAATATGATCTACCATACAAGAATGCTTAATAGTTATGTAATTAGTTTTTGGCAAGTTATTTTGGAGTGGAGATGGTGCAAGTGTTTTATGTGTACTTTATCCTGTAGGAAGGCTGAGATGTTAGCTCATGGGGATAAGTGGAACAAAATAAAAAAGCCAAAATCCATTTTATTTTAGCATTTAGCTGATCTGAGTATAGTTTCCAGCTCTGCTCTCTTATTTAGAGATTAATCTGCTATTTCTTCCAGTTGTTGCTTTTTAAATCTCACTTTATGAAAATTCTGATAAGTTGTACCTACTGAAATATGCAATATATTATGTCCCTAGCTTAAATCACAGCTCTGAAGTACATGTGCTTCTGGTGAAGAAACGATGTTTGCCCTCTATGCTGCAGTGTGGGGCACAGTGCTGCCCCTGACTGTGAGCACCCAGGAGAGCTGCTGTCCCAGTGCTCCTGCCAGTCCCCTGTGGGCATCACCTTTGAAATAAATCACATGGGCAGAAAATGACTGATTTCAGCATTTGTGGTCTTCCATGGGAAATGCATTAAGTACAACCTAAGGATCCAGCTTAGTCCATATTGCAGATTTTTGTTTCAGAAGGAGCTGGAAGCCCTCCTTCTAGCATTCCTACATCCTTTTGCTCTGCACTAATAAACAAATGTAAGCAAGCAGGTTACAGCTGCTGGCATAGTGATGTGCTGACATCATCCACCTCTGTTGACACCAGCAGAGTGGCACCACTGCTTTCTCTCCACTTTTCCACTACTTTCCCTCTGGTGGTGGCCACTGCTGGGTGGCCCACTGCCCTTGGACCAGCTAGCACTAAGGTATTTAGAAGCTCGTGGGTGACAAAGACACTTGGCCTTTCACAGTGGACATATAAAACTTCAGTGTAATGAGCTGGGCCAAAAATGTTTCTTATTTTGTGTAGCAGAGGGGCTTTTTCACAGGAGACTCTGAAAAAACCAGAAGGTGTTGTCATGTATATTGTCCTCTGTGTATCCTACCTGTGTCTTGACTAATACATTTTTTGAATTAATAAAGGAATTAATAATAGGGTCATATAATATATTGAGTACCAGGTACATCATCAACTAGATCAGGTTGTTCAGAGCCCCAGCCAACCTGCCCTTGAACGTTTCCAGGGATGAGGCATCTGCAACCTCTCTGGGCAACCTGTGATAGTGTTTTACCACCCTCATTGTAAAAAATCTTTTCCTTATGTCTAGATTAAATGTCTCCTCTTTTAGCTTGGAATTGTTACTCCTTGACCTATCACAACAAGCCCTACTAAACAGTCAGTTAGTCTTCATTCCTGTAAACCCCCATTAGATGTTGAAAGGCAGTAAATTGTTCCTAAAGCCTTTTCCTCTCCAGGCTGAACAGCCTGCATTCTCAACTGTCAGCCTTTCCTTACTGGAGGGATGCTCCAGCCCTCTGACAATTTTCAGCCCTCCTCTGGACTGGCTCCAACTCAGCCATGCCATTCTCTGGGGATTTCGGTGTGCTGTGCTTTTATAAGCAGGTTTTTGAGCTGAACTGCTACAAGGCAAAACACTATGATGCTAGTAAACTCTCTTCCTTTGTTTTGTGTATTTATTTAGTACAAATACCAGCTCCAGCGTAGGACATGGAGCAGTAAAGCTTACATCCTGTGCCTGGTGTCTCTTTTATCTGTTGTGGCAGGGACTCATAATCAATACAATGCAGTCCAGGACAGCAGTATCACAGATTTTTTTTTTTCCTACTTCCCTTTAATGAACCTTCTAAGTGACTTATGCTGAGGAGTGTGTCCACTTTGACTGGATCAGTATGCTGCAAGGAAAAGGAAGGAAAATTAAGAAATGAAATTTCTTCACTTTTTACTATTAGTTTCTCATGGATGTGGGCAAGGCTGCTGCTTCTTTAAACCTCCATCACCACTGTCTCTGTGGGCAGCTCCTGCTCTTGTTCACTTTCAAATCCCATGTGCACCAAAATATCCAAGTGTGAAGTGTGTGGTGTCACATCAATGAGAAATTGTGTCTGGTGCCATCACTGGGTTATCTCAGGGACAGGATCAGTAGGACAGAGGATGAGTAAGAGCTCAGAACAAGGTATTCGCTGTCTCCTGAGGAGGAGGAACAGCAAGATTTGGCAGCCAATGGCCTGTCCAGGAACAATTGCTCCAGCCCTAACTGAGGATCACTGTAGGGCCATGGTGAGTGCTCTTGGATCTCCAGAGAGAAGCATCAATGGAACAAAATTAGTCAGATTAATTTGTCAGTTTAGGCACTTGGTGAGTGAGACCTCCCTCTCAAAAGATGTGTAGAACAGTGGAGTCATCTCTGTGAAAAGTTAATTCAGTAAATGGGTTGTTTCAGAATTGTGAACCCGTCTGAAAATACACTTGCAGCATTTGTTCTCTCTAGACTTGTAAGAGTGGGGAATGCTGTCTCATCATCATGGAGCAGAGAGACCTTGTGCACTGCTGTACATCTACACCATCTACCCTCTCAGCAGGACAGTGGCTCAGTCTGGACAGGAACTCAGACTAGAAGCAGCATACATGGGTAACCTCTCTGCTGGCCTGAGCTAACAGACTTCCTCAGTGAGCTGGAGGCTGGAAGATGTGCTGTGCAGACACCAGAGCAGCTGGGTCTCTCCTGTTCTCATTTGACTGCAAAGGACAAAACTTGGTCCCCTTGCAGTCACATGGCTGCAGGTGTTGTGTCCTGTCCTGTCTTGTGTGTCCATGCCTTCATCCACCCCCTGCCCAAGCCATGTTTCTCTGCGAGGAGAAACCTGAATTTTTCCACGCCATGGTTTCATGCCTTTATCAGTATTAATGATAAACAGCCACAGTATTGTGGTTTGACTAGTATGCAAAAATTTACTGTTGGAGTTAATCATGTGTTGAATTTAATATTAAACCCTGGCAAGTTACTTAATAGCTGTCACCTGTGATAAGTGCAACCTGCCTGCATTGCTGCTTGCACACACCTGCTCTGGAACCTTTCAAATGGAATCTGCAGGCCTTGTTGGCTGCCAGAGAAAGAAATAGGTCAAAACCTTCCATTATTTTCAAATGACAGTATGAAGCATGTCTAAGCAATTTTCACATCCCATTAAAATTTCTTTTTTGGTTTTTTTTTTGAGGAGGTGTCATTGTGGCCTCAATTTGAGCAGGCTGAGGAGCAGATTTGGTTGTTTTACATTTCGTCTCTTCTGGTGACTGAAGTAACTTACCTCTACCAGCCACATCATCTGACAACATTTGAGGTGGCTTGGCTTATTAAAGCATTTTCTGGCTTTTGGACAGATGCCCCTAAGAATGAGATTAAGCTACATAAAACTGCATGCCTGGAACAGTCTTTCTGCATAGGCTGTTATATCCTTGTACTTTAGAGTAAACTTTGCATAAGCAGCACTCTGTGTAAAACTAAAGTACCTATTCAGGTACTAAAGAATAACTTTTGGCATGTTAACTTTATTGGTGTGAAAAATATAATTTCAAGAATGGTGAAAACCGCAACAAAAAACAAAACAGCAAAACAAAAAAATCCCTGGAGTTTCTGGAGATTTTTGTCAAAATATTTGTCTGACTTTAGAAAGAGATGAACTTTCACTACAGCTTTCCCAGAACTTAGGAAATCTCTCTCTTGCCTGAATATTCCTCATGGTGACCTTGGCCTCCTTATCCTCAGAAGATATGAGTATATCTCCTTTGTCCTCATCTTCCACAGCACTTTTCTAATCTTTGTAATCTCTAATTTCTGTCAAGATGAGCTGAAGTTGGCCAAGAGGCTCAAGGTTGGAATGGTTGCAGAGCATGACCACATTAACATGCTTCTTTAAGTAGCACTTCATCTTTTTGACTTTCTGTAAACTTCTCAGGGTTCACTTCTACAAAAACCTTCTCTGCATCCAGCACTCAATATCTGCCACTGCTTTCAAGGTCACATAAATTACATGTATTGTCTCCAGCCTCTGTTTATAGTAGACACAGCTGCATAGATGCAGATCATTGTAATCTTGATTTTATTGTATTGGTATTATCCTGGGACAGTCTTGTGATGTTTACTTTACTATTCATAAAATGGGCCCATGAAATTCACAGGGACACTGTGTAACCTCAGGGTTCAGAATGAGTGACTTCTTTATGCACTTATCTGTGTAAGCTGCAATTACTGAGAAATGCAAAGTATGAGTTAAAGGAAGGAGGTCAGTACGTGGCTAGAAGCCATAAGGCAGCAGAAAGAATCATGTGCAAGTTAATACTGGAAGTGAGAAGTGTGGGTTTGTAGAGAGGAGATGTGAATCAGTGAACAGCACCTAGATGATCAGCTGTACTCTGTATTTTAGTTTACTTTTAAAGGACAGATGGATGGCTGGTGGGACTGGAGATCAATAAGCTGGTCTTGGCCTGACATGAATCAGACTTGCAGGCCTAGCCCAGGTCTCTGCTGTACTGCAGTATTTGTGAAGCCTCATGAAGCTGTTGTGTGATAATCTGTGTGGCTTTTATGCCTGCTTTTGGTATGTGACATGGAAACAGAGAAAAATTTGCCGTGCCATACAAAATCCTGATAATATTACTGACTTTACTGTGATGTTACTATGTGTGAAGAGTTGTACCTGTTGTGAGCACTGGTAAACACTCAAACAATTAGGAATTTTTTTTTAAATGCTGTGTTTGTCATCTAACCACAGAGCAAGACCTGGCGAGCCTGTTGCTCAGCTCTCTTCTCTGCTTGTGTGTTTGAAACAGCAGTGTGAAAAGGGCTACAGAGAAAGCAGTTGTATTCCTTTAGTGGAAAATAACATCTGAGCAAAACACAAAAGGACATAAAAAAACTTAAAAACATGACAGAAGGTATTTCTTAGAGCTTAAGTCCTGTGGGATTTGTCATATTACTCCTCATCACTGTGAAACAACATTCATTGTGGGAAAGGCACATTATGCCACAGAGTGACCATCAGGGTATTTTTTTAACATGTCTATGTATATCAATATCAATCAGAACTGGACATGATGCTGGAACTAGCAAAACTTTCACCATAGTGGCAACCCTACTTTGGAATTAACATTTTATAAAACCAGGGCCTCAAACATAGTGTGATAAAACCAGAAATCACAGTGGTGATTGTGTTAGCCTAATCATGTCTAACCAAGTTTTTCTCTGCATTTTTCCCTTTAGCAAAGTATCCAGAGATCAAGACTCTGATGGGACCAGATCCACATTTAAAGTGGATTGTATCTGGAATGGTTTTCACGCAGCTTCTGGCGTGCTACCTGGTGAAAGACTTATCTTGGAAATGGATTTTCTTCTGGGCTTATGCTTTTGGGGGTTGCATCAACCACTCGCTGACCCTGGCCATCCATGACATTTCCCACAACGTGGCCTTTGGGAACAAGCAGGCCCGGTGGAACCGATGGTTCGCAATCTTCGCCAACTTGCCCATCGGCGTCCCCTACTCTGCCTCCTTCAAGAAATACCACATTGACCATCACCGCTACCTGGGAGGGGACAGCCTGGACGTGGACATTCCCACAGACTTCGAGGGCTGGTTTTTCTGCACCCCGCTCCGGAAGCTGCTGTGGCTGTTCCTGCAGCCTCTGTTCTACAGCCTGAGGCCGCTCTATGTGAACCCCAAAGCAATCACACGGATGGAAATCCTCAACGCTCTCGTCCAGTTTTCTATAGACCTCATCATTTACTACCTGTGGGGGCTCAAACCTGTTATTTACCTAATAGCAGGTACTATTCTTTGCTTGGGTCTTCATCCCATTTCTGGGCACTTCATAGCAGAACACTACATGTTCCTGAAAGGGTATGAGACATACTCTTATTATGGACCTCTGAACTGGCTCACCTTCAATGTAGGCTACCACATGGAGCACCATGACTTCCCCAGCATTCCTGGATGCAGACTGCCCATGGTAAGTATAGTATGAGATGAGTGAGTTGGATTTTTATTGAAGCTGCTAAACTGTGTCAAAGAAAACCCTTCAAATCATAGCAATTGATGAATTTAAGAAAAAAAGGGGGGAGATTGAGAAAATGGCTTTTCTGGATTTGTTTCTAATTTTAAGCCCGAGATTGAGAGAAACAGCTGTCAAACTGCTGTAATACTTAGTTTATTTGATGCAAACTAGAACATCTGATCCTCAGAGGGCTTGAGGAATACCTTTTGCATGATAAAATCCTCCAACAAGGCTTTAAATGTCTTGATTTACATCCCTCAGCCACTAAGTTTCGACTCTGAAAGTTTAAAGACCCATCTAAAGGGAGGCAGGTGGCAATGGCTACTTTAAATTTGTCTAATGATCAATCTGCTAACTATATTGCTTGATTAACATCAAAGAAAATTTTTCTGGTTTTGAGATGACATAATTTTTGGGGCATGTTCCAGCCTGACACTGGAAAATAAAGCCGCACTCTCTGAGACTCCTTTCAGCTCTCCTGCCCCACCCACAGAAACTGAGGCCTGGCCTGTCCTTGGGAAAGCATTGTGGCTTTCCTCCTTTGAAAGGCAAACCCCTTTTTGTTTATGTTTTATCAGCTGTGGGAATCAAATTTGCAAAGCCCAGGTGTCTAGGAATGGTTTTCCATCTCCCTCCAGGTGCAGAGCTGCTCTTGTGTGTTTTGTGCAAGGGCTGCCCAGCAGGTGCTCGGTGTTGGAGGTACGTGACTCCAAGGATTACTCCTGCACACGAGTTCTCTGACGTAACAGGAAGGAAAGACCTTTGTGTGGCCTGATGCAAAGTGTGGAATTGCTGCTCAATATCCACATGAGCTGGAGGGAGAGCCTGAGGCTCAGGAGCTGTGACCTCCCCACCACTACTGATGCCATGTGCAACTTCTGTGATGGCTTACCTGGGCAAACCCTGCTGTGTGGGCTCATGTTCTCCATCACAGAAACACTCCCTGGGAGGAGATTCAAATCAACAGGAGATTTTCTTGTGCAGAAGGGTGTGGGAAGCCTCTATATAGCCTGCAATTGTGTTTCATTCACTCCTGTGCTGCTGGAGGTCTGTCCTGGAGATGCTGCCTGCTCCTGGTGAGGCCCAGAGGAGCTGGTGCAGCAGCCCACACTTGGATGTGAAGCTCTCCTGTGAGGCACTCCCATCCCTGATACACCTGAAAGCTCAGTGGGGAAGTGCATGTGCTTGGCTCTAGTTTCAAATGTTCAAACTTGTTAGATGGGCTTAGATACTTAGATTACCAAAGTGAAAATAGAAGGAGGTTAGCTCAGTATCCTGCACAAGGGAGGTGAGTGACTAATTGAACTTGCTGGGACTGTTGCTCCAGCCCTGACTGAGACCTGAAAAGCTCTTCTCCACCCACACCACAAATAGTTCAGCCTAGTTCCTTGAGGCAGTGCAGCAGCTGGAAGTGTCTGCCCTCCTCCATAAAGAGGATGGAGTTATTAGCTGAATTTCATGGGCTTGTGTTCATGTGTGTTTTGCTCTTTGGCAACTGAGACTTGCCCTGCTGGTGGAGGAGAGAGCAGGCTTGTCCATCACTGCTGCCTGACAGAGCTATATGGAACACTTGGAGTCTGATGAGAGATCAATTACAAGTAAAAATTCTATTAAAAAGAATTCTATTTTAAAAATTTCTATTTTCTTTGGCAAAACAGTTCCTGTAGAAAATCCTTTGACCATTAAAACAAATTGGTTACTCTTTTCTGCAAAATGAGAAAAAAATCTCTGCTGCTCTGATGAAAAGAGATAAGGAAAACAGATTCTCTCTGATTAACTTTAAATCTTGAACTTCCTAGCAGGTAAGAAACCTCACCTTGCTCTACTTTGCTTAACCTCCTGGCAAATTCCTCACTCAGCAAAGATTTTTTTTTTTTTTCAGATTTAGTCTCTTAGACACTTGAACTTCTAATAGTTGCATTGTGTAGTATGGATAATCTCTCAGCAAGACTATTTTTATTTTTAATTATTGGCAAGTAGAAAGTGGAGTAAAGATCTCTATTTTTAAAGGTCTATCCTGCATGATTGAGATCAGGGGAGAAATGGGATTTGAGAATAACTGGATCTTAATCTTGGAAAGTAACTAGCTTTTCAGCTTGCTTATCAGGAAAGTAAATTCAGCGTTTTCCTTTGTAACAGGTGAGTCATTCAGAACGTTCTGAGTAATGTGTTTGCCACTAGAAAGACCTTTCCCCTATGACTGTGACAAATTTGAAAGAGGAAGAATTAGGCTGTGCTCATAAGCTTATGGATATTAAAGATCAGTGACATGGGTGTGCAGTAAGCACTTGTCCCACTAGTATAATGAGAGATTGCACAAGAGACCATGAAATGTAACTGTGCAATGAAGGCCCTGCTCTAAGAAAAACCCCTGTAGACTTGAGAATAGATTAGTCTTTGAATGAAGTCTTACAACTATAAAATATTGCAATGTTTACCAAATGAGTAAAGAGATCCATTCTTCATTGTCTGAATTGTCAGAGTATGCTCATGGAGAAAGGAGATTGGAGAAGGAGGAGGAACTCTATTAGAAGCTGCAATAAAAGCAGCAGTGTTACCAGGGGCAAACTAGTTACTCATTAAGCTTGTGGGAAAAGGAAAAGACATGGTATGAAACCAGATTTATTAGACAGAAAAGACTGGAAAACATGGTAGATGTGCTGGTTTTGAATTGCAGATTTCATTAACCCTATGATGGCCAGGAGGGCTAGTTCCAGTACTCACCATCCTGTGGTGGGGATGTAGGACTATAAAAGGAACTTCTTGTAATAAGCCTTGAAGCATTCTAAATGTAATTTTGAGCTTTGTGTCACAAGGATCTCTAGCTTCTGTACAGCCCCAGGACAAGGAGTGTGTAACAGGCATGCTGAAATACTAGGCTGCATTTAACTTTTGTACTTATCAGATATGAAGAGTATGAGTAGGGTCCTGTCACTGTGCTCTACAATCACAGAACCAGAACAAAAGTTCCAGTCCAAAAGATGTGATTTCTTGCCCTGCCACCTTGACCTACTTGAAGAAAAGCCTCAATATACCATGTGCCAAGTGCCTAGTAATTGTCCTGACTGACATTGTCTGTCCTAACAGAATCACAGAATGGGTGAGGCTCAGCCTCCCTGCTCAAACAGGGTCATTCTGAAGCACATGGCACAGGATTGTGTCCAGATGGTTCTTGAACATCCCCACTGAGGGAGGCTCTGCACTCTCTCTGGGCAGCCTGTTCCTGTGCTCAGTTACTGCACAGTAAAGAAGTTTTTCCTCACGTTCAGGTGGAACTTCCTGTGCATCAGTTTCTGCCTGTTGTACCTTGTCCTATTGCTTGGTAGCACTGAGAAGAGTCTGGATCCATTCTCTTGACACCCACCCTCCAGATACTTAAAGATATTGATGAGGTTCCCTCTCAGTTGTCTTTTCTTAAGTCTGAACAGGCCCAGCTCCTTCAGCCTTTTCTCATTAGAGAGATGCTCCAGTCCCTCAATCAACTTTGTCACCCTGCACTGGACTCGCTCCAGGAGCTCCATGTCCCTCTTGTACTGTGGAGCCCAGAACTGGGCACAGCACTCCAGATGTGCCTCAATTTTCATTTACAAACCAGCAATGAGTTAAGACTTACAGCTGAGATTTGTAAGGAAGAAGGCAGGGAGGAGTTGAAGAAAATGGATCACCTACAATGCAATATATGGAGAGCTTGAGGAGCAGGATTTTGGGATACTTAATTACAGTGCCATCCTCTTTGAGACAATCTATGATCTGGCCACAAAACTTGCTACCTGGAAACTGCATCTACAGGGTTTGTACTGTAACATAGAGCTGACTCTTCTAGCCTCAACCATACTAATAGATATAGAATCATTAAGGCTGGAAAAGACCTCCAAGATCATTGAGCCCAAACTTTGATCTGATACCACCATATCAACTAAATCGTAGGATGAAGTGCCATGTTGAGTCATTTCTGGAATACTTCCAGGAGTGGTGACTCCACCACTTCCTTGAGCAGCTGTTCTGATGTTTGACAAGTCTCAGTGAAGAAATTCTTTCTGGTGTCCAAACTTCCCCCTTGATGCAGCTTGAGCCTTTTTTCTCTTGTGCTGCTTGTTGCTTGGGAGAAGAGGCTGAGCCCCACCTGGTTACACCCTCCTTTCAGAGTTGTAGAGTGATAAGGTCTCCTCCAAGCCTCCTTTTCTGCAGGCTAAACAACCCCAGCTCCCTCAGCCACTCCTCCTATGATGTTGCATTTAAAAGGGAGTCTGTATTAAAACCCCAATTACTGCCCTCCCACTATCCAGTTTTTCTGGTGGATAAGGTGATAATTCTGTTTTATGTATGGAGATACTGAAAGAAAGAATGAAAAATGAGATGGTTTTGCTGGAAAACTTTTGCATAGATCTATTATAAAAGAGAAACATATTTTAAAATTCTTTCCTGCCATGTACTAGCAAGGTGGGAACATGTACCTACCAAATTTCCTTCTTTTCCATAAGATCTTTCAGAAGTCCTCCTCTAACTGCATTCATTATATTTTTTTATTTTCTCCATTTCTTATTGCAGTTTCACCTTCCCTCTCCATATTTTCTGTGCATCTCATACAGTTGAGCTGCCCAGAGACCTTGCAGTGGTGCAAGTGGTGCCTGCCTTCCTGCACCAGGTGCTGCTCATGTTTGCAGAAGCTATTGGGCTGAACATAGGCAGGCTGCTTATTGGCCTCTTCTCTGGGCCATTTTTAACTACTTTGTCACCACTACTTTTCCTTTGGAGCCTTTGGAGCCAGAGGACACAGCCTGAGCTTCCTTGGAGCTGAATTGGTTTCTGTGAATCTCCAGCCTTCTACTTCCATATACAAGGGGCAATAGAGGAAAACTCCCTGAAGCTCTTGTTGTGGTCCAAATATAACATGGTCAAGAGCTCTGCAGGGTAATGTAACTACTTAAGAAAGCATGGTCTGGTTCAGAGAGCAAGAAGTACATGGGGCTCTGGGGAAGAGGGGAATGGTAGACTTGCCATATGAACTTGGGTAGTGTAGATGAGGGCTAAACTACAGTTGAAAGGCAGAATTTCTAAAATGGAGGCAGGAAGGAAGGTCTAAACAATTGTGTGCTAGGAAATGACCATGTCAGAGCTAGAGTGAAGCTTTTGAAGCTGGGTGTCTGAGCCACCCTTTGTGTTTGCATCAGGCCTCATGAGTGACCTCCATTCAAGGGAGCTTACTGTAGAAATAGTCCTCCCTCTCATCCTCTGGCTATTTCAATTACCCAGCTGGGAAAAGGGAGGATACAATACCCAGATTAAATTATTTCTGACTGGGATTACAGAAGGAGCACAGAGAACCAAATCTGCTTCTCCAGAGATCTTGGAAACCTGGAAATCACCTCTCTTCCTGCCATTAACAAATATCTCTAAGGAGAAATCCTGATATTGTCTGAATATAATTGAAAATTAACCATTGAAAATTAACGACTTTGAAGTACAAACCAATGCTTTAAAGCAGGATAGAGAAAATGATTATGAAGTTGGAGGTATTCAGTGAAAGACAGAATACAGTCAGACCTGAACTGAATCTTCCACCTCTAGCACATCACTACATGCCAGGAGCACCAGGAGTGTGTAAGGGACAGAGGTACAGAGGTAAAACATTTTAAAGACTCTTGTACATTATCCAACCTATTTCACAGAGAAGTGTCTGCTAGGAAGCTGAATTAATGAGGTGATTAGCAGGGAGCCATGCCAGTTTATAATTTAACTTTCACTGGAATTCTTACCTTTTCACAAGCAGTTAAATGCTGTGTTAAGGTTTCCCCATTACACTCAGTGGTGATGAGACCCTCTTCCTGCATGGTGATTTCTGTGTAACCCTTTCTCTCTTCACTGGAAGTCTGCTCTGTGCTCAGTGTAGCTGGCTTTAGAATTCTGCAGGGTTTTAAAGAGAGAAGTCATGCTCTCCAGCAAGACAAACTGCTCTATTCTAGAGCTTTGTTTGTCTAAGAGGTGGAGCTGCAATAAAACCATGCCCAAGCAGTTCTGTGCAAGCGTACTACAGTTAACAGATTCTGCTGCTTCATAAATGTGTTCAAAAAGCAAAGCATCTAGTTGGAGCAGGAATAATAACTGATAACTTGGGAATCCTCACAGTCCCCTGAACCTGCCAGCTTTGAAGCCTCTTTGTCCTCTGGTTCTGGCCTAACTCCCACTACAAGTATCACCCCAATGATGCACAGTGCTTCTCTGATGGCAACAGTCTTTAGACTTTGGGAATTGTAGCAGAGATGAAATTTTATTAAACTTGTGACCTAATAATGAATCTCACAGTATTTTTAATATCAGACTGAGGAGAACAGACCACCCCTGCAATTTTCTTTGCCTGCTGGAGGAACCTATCTCTTGGATTTGCATCACGGTAACAGAATGCAGGGTAGAAAACAAAGGCTGTGTCTGTCATTTTCTCAGTTGTTAATTCTCTCTTACCCAGAACTCTCAACAGAAGAATATTACAAGTGGCAAACAGGGCTTTAAATATAGTGTGCTGGAGCCTTGGCAATTGATAAAGTGGATAAAGTATCTCTCATTGTGGAGATCCCACCACCTCTGAAATGACACAAAATAGTTCTGACTGAAGGCAGCAATCCACTGCCTTTCAAATTATGACACTGTGAGGCAAAACTTACATCAGAAATCTGTTAAGAAGTATCTAAATGCATTTAAGTACGTCTCATTTGGCTGAACTTCAGAAGCTCACAGGCAATAACAAGTAACTTCAGGTAATGGCTGTGCTATCAGATCTGAGTGTGAAGGTTGAAACACACCTGACTCTGTGCAGCCCAACACTCATTCTCTCTCTTCTTCTTCCAGGTGAAGAAGATTGCAGCAGAATATTATGATAACCTCCCACATCACCAGTCCTGGATTCGAGTTCTGTGGGACTTTGTTTTTGATGACACTCTTGGTCCTTATTCAAGGGTTAAGAGACTGTGCAAGCTGGCAAAGGAAAGCTAACAGGGCAGCTCCTCCTGCTTCAGTGGTGTGTGTGTTTGTTCATTCCCATGACTTCAGTTTTCTGCAGAAATAGAAGGATCTTTGTGTGTTCTGAATTGAAGTTGGTGCATGCTGCTTATGCCAAGAGGATGGGTGTGAAAATGAAGCAATTTTAGACAACCGATATTTTTAATAAAGGATATTTGTATATGCAACCCTCAGAACTTAGATGAGAGTGAACTGCGATTAGGTGAACCTTTGGTCTAGGCTTAGAATTAACTTCCTGGGACTCATGTGCCTAAGCCTGAGTTTTAGCTTTGTCTGTGAGGGGAACGTTTGTTGTGTGTTATGTGTGAGCATGTGTGTGTGTGTGTGTAGTTCAGGACTGGTTTCTCTTGGTGCCAATTGGAGTAGATGCTCTGTGTGCACAGGACTGTGGAAGCAGGGAAGACTGGCACACAGAAGTAAATGATACTCCCTGGAAACACAAGGGTGCTTTTATCTCAATGTCTTGTCTAATCTAATATCTTCTGATAATTGCTAATAGCAGAAATTTTATATAAGCAATGGAATATGTTTATATTTTTGTACATCTGCAACATTATTTCAATATGCTGTTTGATCTTTATTCCAGAGCTTTCTCTAAACCTTTTTTTAAATGAATTGCCATTCTTGGGATATAATACTATTGCTAACTGAACTGTGGCAAGGAAAAATCCTTTTTTTAGTGTTCCACCTACTTCCTGATCAGCAGCATGGATGTGCCTCTGAGGAACTGGGTGGTCCTTTCTCACTCACCTTTTCAAGAGTATTCATAACTTCATGTATCTCACCCTTTTCCCTACTGTAAGTCCTCTGGGGAAAGGAGAAGTTCTAGTTTTAATTTTTCCTTGCCAAAGCTATTAGCATTCCTGGTCACCTTTCTTGGTCTCCTCTATATTACACCCCTTTCTGTGCATGGGATTTAGGGTACATGTCAGTGGAGACATGGAGGTGTCTTCATCTTTGTGGTGGTATTTGTTCCTAGCTGCTTTCAGAATAATGGGAATTCTTTTCCTCTGTCATTCAAGGGGCACAACTTGACATTTGGGAAGCACATGATACTCCAGCTATGCAAAATTGCCTCTGGTGGTGTTAAGGGGATGTACCTGGAACATGGAGATGGGGACATTTCTCTCTCTGCATCTCTTTCTTGGTGCTATTGACATTAACCTTCATCTCTCATTTCCACCCACTGGCATACTAAAATCTTCCTGCTTGTTCTCTCCAATTATAAACTCCTGGCTATCCTCAAGAATTCTGTATCATCCAAAACCTTAATCAACATAGCCTTTCTACAAGCAGCACAATATCTTGGGAGTGAGGAATTCAAATGCCATCTAGTAAATTTCCTCTACCATGGAAAGCTGGCAAATTATTTCTGTCCTTACAAAGTGGTTAAAAGAGAGAAATTATAATTTATATATAATTTATATATAATTGCCCTGTAGCCCTCTAACAGTTTGGGTTTTTTCTTCTGGAAATCTGTGGCTCTAACAAGGAAAAGATTATTGTGCAGCCTCATTGGTCCCTCAGAGTATTAGACCTGGCAAGCCTGATTTCCTCACTGAACACGATTTTGTTCCTTCCTTCAGCAGCACTGGATCCAGGGAGCCAGTCTGTCTGTTCACTAGCCAGCTGAGCTAACCTGCAGCCATTTGGGTTCCTCCTTCATTTCCCCATTCTCCATTTTTCTCACCCATGTGATTTTGGCAGTTGGGTCAATAAATACCCAGGCTTGCTCAGCAGATCCTTTGTAACACAGGGGCTGAACAGCAGTTTATTCACCAACACTGTTTTGTGCTTTTGGATAAGAAGAGCAAGAATGAGGCTTCTCCCAGCACTTCTGCCTTTACTGATGCCTCAGTGATGAACATACTTAAGACATTATATCTGAATTATTAAAGCTGCTTTTCTCCCAAAGGAAGAGGTGCTGCTGCATCAGTGCTCATGTCAGGGAATTTCAGATTTTTATTAATTTACTTCAGAGTTGCTGGCACTCTGATCACATATTCAATTTCCTGTGTCTTTAGCAGTTGTTCCTCAACTCTCTTGTCCAACTTAATAAGTTAATATAAAAACCACAATAAAGATTATGCTGACTTCCTCAATATGACTGCTGTCCTTATCCTCTTTTATGAGTGACCTTGTGCTGTAGTTCCCTTACTCAGCTTTCATGATCTGGTCACCCATTTGCTGTGGACTACTACCCTAGCCTGACACAAAGGCTCTGGTGTAAGTGAGCCAACCAAAACTGTCAGCTGCTTCTTCACCTGCCTCCCATCAGTGTTTCCATCATGGTCCCAGCTTGCTTGGCCTGGGCAGCCCCACATTCCTCCTTCTCAGCACTGTCCATCCCAGCAGGAATTGGCTGGAAGGCTGCAGTGCCTGCAGGTGTGCAGTGTGAGCTGAGTTCCAGGATTTGGGATGCTGCTGGAGAAGGCTGTGATCCTGTCCTCTCCATGGGCACTTGTCTTTGCTACTGCCAGTAATGTTGGCAGGAGGGGTTTTTAATAACCACAGGGCATATGGGTCTGAGTTAAAAGTGTGTTAGAGCTATGTAAAGTTTTATTCCTTTTGCTTGAAAATTGATCCAGATCTCCATCATTGTTTGGGCACACTAAGGCTCTGGCAGGTGCTGTGTGATAGGAAGCATTGGAGAGTGATGTCCCCTTAGATTTCTGCTGTGTAAGATGCCTGTGGCCTGTCCTGTTGCAGTGGCTCCACAAGCCCAGGATGAAAGAACACCCTTTTCTGCAGAGACAGCTGGCAAACTGAATTACTGGCTGGGAGGAGAGAATCCTCTGGTAGTGCCACTACTGGAAATAATGCCACCTTGCACATCCTTGTCACTGGAGCTGAAGGCTGGGAACTGGCACAGTGATGCCAGGACTGCTCATCTGCCAAGCTCCACCTTCCACCCCACACACTTTGCCCCCAGTATTAAGTGTCCCTGTTCAACTTCAGCTCATTATGTTGTAATTATATGAGGCCTGCAAAGGTAATTGAAGAAAGTAAGAAAATCCCATTTACAGCAGCTGGCTGATGTTAACACAGGGGCATGCCATATCCAGGCTGTACAACATGGTTATTCCTGACCTTAGGCAGAACACCACATTCCAAGGAAAAACATGAACCATGCCAAGCACCAACCTCCAGAACCTTAATCAGGATCATGGGACAGTTTCCCAAAACAGATGTGATCTTGAAAAGCAGCAGTTTTGAAGAGTACTTGCCATTATCAGGTATGCCATTAAATGGGTTTATAATTAGGAAATGCATGAGCTACTGTAAGAGATTTATGCAACAGAGCATTCTAATCTCTGCTGTTACTGATGCTTGTCTGGGTTGCTCATACTGGGATGGCTCCTTCTTGTGGTCCTGGGGTGTTGCAATGTGGTGCACATCAGTGTCTGCTTGCTTTAGTTCCCATTTGGAAATCTTTATCTTGCTATTTAACCTCTCTCTTGCCTTCAGCTGGCATTAAACAGCTGGCATTAAACATCAGTCTCAGTCTGGAGCTCACTGTTGCATTAAACTCATATTTCTCCCATATTTAATCTACAGTATAACTAGACTCTGAAAAAGACTCATTTGTAAAAGGCATTTGGGTTGCTTTGAAGAGTGCTGAAGAACACCCCAAAACAAAACAGGTAACATTTTACAGCTGACTGCCAAACAGGACCCATGCTGCCTCCTCTGCTGGATCTTCTGCAGCAGGCTGGCTGTCCCTCCTGCCTCCTCCACCAGCAATGGGACAATCACAGGCAATCCTGGGCTGCTGCATCAGGCTCTGCTCCCAAAACCAATCCTCGGGGCCTGGCTTTTAAAATAAAATCTCTATGGAAGCCTGAAGAAATGAAGGGAACTTGGAAAATACTTGACAGATTTCAATAGTGGAACTCCAATCCCTTGGCTTTTGCACAGGGTTACCAGAATATGGTATCAAGACAACTGCCATGCAAAGCTTGCACCAGACTAAGTCAAGCAGAAATCCCCAAGATTGCTCTTAATGCCTCAGGTTTTAGCTTTTATATTTTTCAGATTCTGTACTGCTTTAGTGTGTAGTTCTGAGCTTTGTATTAAGGGATAGTAAGCTCTCTTTACAGAGTAGGTAGACAAAACAATTCCTTCTCTAGCTGGGGACCAAGGAGAACCAATCCAAATTTCAGGCCCAAGAGCATAAACAACGTGGACTGAAGAGAGAAAAACAAGAAGGATGGGACTTCATAACCTAAAGCTCTAACTGGACAATTAAGTCCACTATGCAAATGGACCAGAACTTATAAAAGTGAGAGACCTCACGACCAATCATCATTTTTGGGACCATTTTGGGTTCATCTTGGGTGTAGCCCTGGCTGGGCTCTTGTATTGCTCAAGGTGTATCCATTGAGGCCTTTTAATAAATATCTACTTTATTATTTAACTCTGTTTAGCCTCTGTTCTAGGTCAGCCTTGACAAGGCATCACTCTGGTGGGGAGAATGGCTGTAAAGGAAACAATTTCATGGCCCGGATGATATGACTGGCTATGCACTGTTAAGTGTTCAGTGTCCTGTACCAGTAAAGCACAAGACCTGCACACCATTAACAAATTACTCCCCTTAAGTCCCTAGTCAGCAGTGCTGTGCCTGGGATTTCAGTTTGCATCCACCCAATACCTTTGGTAGCCTTGTTCTGCATGAACAAACACTTCCCTTTTATTACTGCAAATCTGCAGGAGCACAGATGATGGGACCTGTGTATTTTTCAGTGACAGCAGGAGATGTGGTGGCCTGAGAAGAGCCTCAAGCCACTGTCCTTCACTTGCTTTGGCAAAACATTGCTGAGGTGGGGGCAGCCTGCCTGCAGGACATGGTGCTCACCACACAGGTGAGGGCCTGTCTGCCTGTGGGAGAAGGCATCAGCCACAGGAGACAGAGCTGCCACCCCACAGTGAGTCTCAATATCCTTCCTTTTACCACCAAGTGACACAGAAGTGCAGGAACTGAAGGGACAAATGAAACAAAGAAAGGCAGGGCCGTGTGGACAATAAACAGTTTATTACCAATATGAACACAGATACTGTGATGCACTGACGTACCATTTTTTAATATTGTGATAACTCTGAGACA